GGCCCACAGTTCATTTGTCTGACAGCCCTGTTTTAACAGCTAAAACTTCTGCAAATTCACTTCATGTGTGAGCAGCATAGTTTATTGTATCCTCTGTGGAAGGTGCATAAAAGGCGCCAATTTATCATACAGGTTTTTCATTTAACAGACTGCCTTTTCCTCTTTACTGCCTTGCTACAGCTGTGCATATTAAAGAATGAGACTGTAACAGTGTATACTATAACTGGTAAATATCATATGTTGATGTCAAAAAGTTGATTATTAAATTCTGACTTTATTTCAGCTTTTTATTATGCTAACTGCCGTGAACTGAAACCAGATCCAAAATAGACCACAGCTGAACTTTACTTTGGTGACACATCACCAGGATGTGCTTAGATTAAACACAAGTCTGTCTGATCTACCTCGATACTCTAGAAAATGAGAGCATTAACCAGCAGCCGAAAAGCCACATTCCCATAAAAGACGGAACAACTCTTTCATAGAGGCCTGAATATTTGTGTCTAAATGTCCAAATACGTATCCAGAAACAATAACTAGTTTCAGGACACCTGCGTTTATGCGTTCTTGTCTCTCAGACACAAATACGCACACATGCACACATGCACACATGCATCAACACACACTGACCCTATGTGACATGTGGAATCAAACACAGCTCTCTCACTGCTGCACACTGCATGAACTATTTATAATGTTCTCCTTCACTGAATTATTGATGAGCTATGTTTTCTGTTTCTCTACACTTTTCTGCAGTTCTGTGAGAAATTTGCTCCTTTTTGAGTAAATATCCACTCTGGGCCTCTTTCACATTATAAACAATGGGGACAATTTTAAGCAAACAGGGTCGGATGAGAACATCTAACCAACCATGGGGACGGGGAAAAATAGGCATATGGAGTAAAAACACAATGAAATCATGTTTTGTTTTGTTTTTTTAAAGTAATGTTAAAGTGAGAATGCTGGGAAGTCAGAGGTAATTTCTTATGTCAGTCACACCTCTACCTGTATTTCGAGTCATGAAAGATCTAAAGTATGACATCCACTCTGCCGTGTCTGCCTCACTAGCAGACTGTGATACCAGGAGGAGAGACAGAAGCACAGAGTTATTCAGGAGTAAGGACTGAAATCCAGTGTACTGTGAAACAGATTGAGCAGCAGACACTCCAGTGAAAATATTCTATGTTCTATTTACAGCCAAACTCTGGGGAGATGACAATGACACGGGGGTTTGTTTTAATCTCCTTCAGAAGCAATAAAGGGGGAGGAAACCTCCCAAAACAAGGACATCTTATTTACTCAGAGCCACACATGACTTTCAACACTAATTGATGTGAAATATTCCGCAATGTAACAAACAGTTGGCTTCCTCACACTAATTATCACTGATTCTCACTTTCCTCCTCCTCCTCAATCTTTCACCTCTTTCCTTCCTCTCCTCCTCCTCCTCCATTCTTTAACACGTTCTCGCATAGACACTGGCAATCATCGTCTCATCGCAGATTAAAAAGGGGCTCGCTATTTTTTTATATAATGCAGCTCAGCCTAATTCGCTCTGGATGAATTATGCATTGTGTCACTAATAATGTGACGGAAAATATTTTTTTCTTCTTGAATGCTTCAAGCGTTTTCTGATTTCCACAGGCTAGAATTTTTTTTTCTCCTTGCGAGAGAATATGCATTCGATAAATGTAACAATCTGTTACCGTAGATGGTTTGGCATGACGTAGGCAAGCGGCTGAAACAAATAATTCAACAGTTTTATAGGTCCAGTGAATTTAGGTAAATTTTCTCTCTGCGTTTCCTCTGTTTGCCAATTTCTAGACACTAGTTTTCTCTACATGTGTCCCGCTTTCATTTAATGTAATTATCTTCTGAGCTGTCAACACTGTAGGAACTGTTTATTCTAAGTTCTCTGTACAACTGTAGCAGGAAAAACAGACATCTTCAGATAATTGTATCAGTAAAAACCAAACTGCTTCTCTAAAAAATATCATGCAATTAAATAACAATATAAAAAAAAACAAAAGCAGAAAAGAAATATAAATCTGGTAATGATGTTTTTTTTTAACATACACCAACAGGCTATTTTGTTACAATGGCTGAACAATGTTTTACAATCAGACTTGCCTAAATTCTGTGTGGCATGGATTCAACAAGATAATGGAAACATTGCTTAGAGACTTTGGTCCATGTTGACTTTAGCCATCACAGTTGCTGCAAATTCATCCTGAGTCACGGATACAGTACAAAGCAAAATGGAGCCATGCTTTCATGTTGTTTATGCCAGCGGTCTCCAACCTTTTTTGCGCCACGGACCGGTTTATGTCGAACAATATTTTCACGGACCGGCCTTTAAGGTGTCACGGATAAATACAACAAAACAAAACCAGTACTGGTACCAAAAAAAAGACGATTTATTCATAACACACAAGAAAAGACCAAGGGAAACCAAGTTAATGATAAAAACGATAAATGCTAAAAACCGCTAAAAACCCTGAACCCACACCTGAGCCTCAACTCTCGCGGCCCGGTACCAATTGACTCACAGACCGGTACCGGTCCGTGGCCCGGGGGTTGGGGACCGCTGGTTTATGCAAATTTCTCACTCTATAGCCAAATGTTAAAGCAGAAGTCAAGGCACATAAGACCAGACAACCTTTTTCCAATCTTCTATTGTCCAGTGTTGGTGAGGCTGTGTGAACTGTAACTACAGTTTCCTGTTCTTAGCTGACAGGAGTGACAGCCAGTGTGGTCTTCTTCTGCTGCTTCAAAGTTTGTGTTGTGTGCTCTTCTGCATACCTTTATTGTAGCAAGTGATTATTTAAGTTACTGGTTTCAGGTCAATCTCTATAAACCCTTGAGTTTGTTGTTTAGGAACATTCCAGCAGTTCAACAGTTTCTGAAACATTCAGACCAGCCTGTCAGGCAACAACCACAATGCCACCTTAAAAGTCATTTAAATCAGCTTCCTTTCCCATTTTAATGCTTTTTCTTAACTTCTGCAGGTCATCTTGACAATATCTACAAGCCTAAGTATATTGAGCTGCTGCCATGTGATTAGCGGATTAGATATTTGCAATAACAAGCAGTCTTAAGCACAAACACCTGTGCCTAATGAAAAACTAGTATAACATAAATAACAGCAAACACTATACACAATAAACTATTCATCATTTAGTATTTCTTGTTTAGCCAAAACCTGATAAAGCTGATTTCTTTAAACTCAAACACAAATCAGCACATGGATAAAATCATAGTGTCACTGTATGCATAAAAAGTGCATCACATCATTGACTAACTTGCTCAAAATTATTATAGCTAATGAGCAACACTGTCATGACATTGAAAAACTGTGTGGGAAGAGGATATCCAGATCTATCCAACAACCAGCATGTCAAACAGACAATAAATCTAGCATATGACAGCTTCTTCAATGAGTCTGTTGGACTCATGCACATAGGGAAGGCAACCTTCTTTAGTTTTGTTACCACTGCTTAGTTTAAACATCTCCATAATGCTGACAATTCTCCTCCATGGCCTACGTTCTATATCAACATGGCTCAAACTTCGTGTTGTGCAAAAGTGGTATTTGATGCATCGTATCAAAAGTTTTACAATTACAACAGTACAGCATCCCTAACCCCAACAGCTTTGTTACCACATCCTTGAAAAGAAGAAAGAATGGTTACAACATTGCCGGCGCAAAGAAACACTAAAGTTTGGAGAGATTAAGAGAGGATGAGAAGGAGGATATCTGTGCCAAACAAGCTGTGGAAATCAAGCTGAGGAACCAAGATTCAAAGTACAAAGCCTCACACCATGTCCAAATGGTTCTCACCCACTCTGGAGCGACCCACCTGCCAGCTCACGAGGAATGACAACAAAACCTGTTCACAGATTTGGAAAGAATCCTGGATTGAGATGCAGGCTTAAGCCTGCAGAGCAGAAACACAACACACCTATTAACTGAGTTCCTCCTAAAAGAAGAGCAACAGCAGTCTGAAAGTTTTTGCAGACTCTGAGCATCTCAGCATCCAAGCATGTAAGGGATGGCTGACAAACAAATTATCGCTCTGTTTCCATAGCAATCTATGAATGGGCTGTGCTACTGCCTGTGACAACCCGATGCCTGTGAAGACAAGACTCGCCCATAAAACGCTAGCGCTCTGCAGCAAGCCTGTTATTACTGCTATCATTCAATTGGACTTGATTTGCATAATTAAACTCTGTTATTGCCTGGCTCTGAATGCTATTGTCAGGTCCTGTTCTTACCAACCAGACTCCCAGCATGACACAGGACAAGGGGGCACTTAAAGAAGAAATATACCCTCAGGTGACCCTGAGATATGACTAACCAATACTAAGATTATCCATTAAATTGAATTTAATAAGCCTCTGTTTCCTGTAGATAGGTCATTTATTTCTGCGCTTCTCCAGGGTAGTCACTGATGAGGTGAGTCACAGCTTGGACTTCACTCTGCTAACCACATGAAAGGCCCTGACGGAGCTGAATGAAGCAGGTCCCGACTGTGAAATAGAGAAAGGCAGGAGAAAAAGGAGAAGCTCACAGGCTTATGTAAAATATTGTTTGTGCAAGCTGTGAAGGCTCCAAATATCAATGAAGAAATGTTATCAAGTTAGCTATTTATCATTTAGTTATCATTTGTAATAATGCCTTCATAGCTCTGTGTTAAAGAATGAGAGTGAGAAAGAGTGGGTCATTCTTAAAAAAAAATACCAAGCAACAAGAGAATCAGAGTCACGGTGATTCTCAAGGATAGAATAAATGCAGCAATTGCTGTCTATTTGACAATCCCTGGAGCCACATGCTGGATTCGTACAAGCAGTCATCCTCAGTGAAATGAAGTTGTTCACACCAAGAACACACCAAGATGACCTGGCAGCATCAAGTTGATAACAACCATTGTAGCGAGTATTCAACAATTCAGCGTTTTTCACAAAAACATGCCATTTTGTGTTGGAAATCAGAATCTTACCTCGACTATGTGTGGAGTGGGATTGAATCCACACATGTTGCACACTTGAGAGCGGCACTGTGTGCAGGTGTTGTAGTTGGGTTGTTCTGCTGTGTTGCCTATGTTGAGATTTGTTTTACAAAGGGGACAAGAGGCTTTGGCCTCTTGTCCCCTTTGCTGTTGCTGCTGCTGAGAAGGGGGTCGAGGCCCTTGTTGTGCAGACTGAGGTCCTGAGGGTTTACCTGCCCCAGCTCCTGGACCAGGAGGTCCTCCTGGTTTGGGGGCTGGTTTAGGGGGCTGCTGTTGGGGTTGAGTAGTCTCTGATATCAGAGTGCTTGCTTGGTTGAGAAGAGACGCACCAAAGCCAAACAACTTCCCGAAGGTTTGCTCTGGAGGTGGGGGCTGTCGTGAAGGGGAGCTTCCTGCACTGCGCGTCTGGTCCTGGCGTGGGTGCTGGGGTTGGTGGGCGGGTGAACTACGGGATAAATCAGGCTGGGATGGGGCCTTGGCCATCCCAGGGAGAGGGACTGCCCCTGGAGGCAGCCTTGCTTGCTGCTGACCTGCGCCAGCTGGACCAGTCTGTTTGGTAGGGCCAGGCACTGGATGGGCCTGCAATGGAGGCTGCGTCTGAGGAGGTGTATGTGTCTGAGGTGTGGGCTGAGCTGAAGCGTTAGGTTTAGGTTCTGGATTGGTTGCATGAGAAGGAGAGTGAATCTGTTGCTGACTCTTGGAACGTGGTGTGGTCATATCCATCCCCAGTGCTCTCTGCATTTGACAGTTTAGACATAACCACTCTTGGACCTGAAAAAGAAAGAAAAACAAGGCAATGGCAATAAGCTACAGTATCTTGTTTTCACAATGGGGTACACTGGATACAAAAATAGAAATTCATTGAATAATCAGTTTCCTGCAACTGCTGAAAGAAGGTTGCATTTTTATCTTGCTGGCTACTGAGTGATTTTACCATGGTGCCACAAACTGATAGCAAGGAAAAGTCTTGCAGGCAGCCTGAAAAGTCCTGGTGATAATCAAGCCTCTTTCTCCATTCCTCCTCTACTTCACTATGTCAACATGCTCTCCTAGTAGCAAGCCTGACACCCCTGAAAAAAGAATGAAAGAATAAGCAGCTACCTCACAGACCAACGTTACCATTTACTCACTAGATTCTCTACTGCGAACTTTAAAGCCACATAAAAAGTGATTCACTCATCACACATCACTCCGTGGCTGACAGGTTGCTGCTAGTGGGCATTCTGGCTTTCAGTTGTTTTGGTAATTCTCTAATCTACTTACCACCCCCTCATGTGTCAATCAGCAGTATCATTCGCTCCTATTGGTAGTCACTTTAATTTCTCACCCCAAAGTTATGAAAAGTTAAAACTGGAACCAGCCTATTTTATTTTGCCTGTTGCTGCAACAATCAGTGCTCTGCCACTCGCTTTCAGCATGGAAGCTTCTTAACTCTGTTTCACCCACAAAGGCAAACATATGAATGTGCTGTTTTTGACTGCAAAAGCAGACACAACTAAGTCTTCATGTAAGCAAGTGAAAAGCTGAAAATCCACTGCATTCATTTATGACCGTAATGTCAAGTCAACAATAGAAACAGCATCACTGGTAGCATCTTGTCTGATTTAGGCTTTCACTGGGAATCTTTCGAGTGCCTACGATATAACTTGTAGAAGTGGCCGATGTCGTTGGTATGATTTTTTTGTGTGTGTGTGTGGCTCGTGTTTCATACATATTGCTGGCTGACAGAAACCAATAAAATGCTGGGACTTTTTCCCACCTGTGTCCCCACTCTTTATCGTGGTTGATTCAACTTTTTCCACTTTTTTGTAAAGTCCCTCACATCCATTCCGATAGTTTCAACACTCTCTCCAGGAATTTGCCAACTTATGTGTGTCCTTATGTTGATGTTATTCCTTATACTGAGATGATGGTTGTTTTTCTCTCACTGATATATTTAAAAACTGCTGTGAAAAAGTAGTCGGAAGTGAGCAGGATGAATCCAGGTGTGCCAACCTGACGTGTATTTACATTTTTAGGGAGACGCACGTCAAGCAACCGCCTGTGTTAAGGTGCATGGTTCAGAGGGGTTTGCACAGAGGCAGTAGGTTACATTGTAGATTTCCCACTGAAGTATAAAACACTAGCAGTGTGACAAACATTACCATTAGCTTTTTTATAAAATGACCACCAGAAACTATAAAAGCAAGGACTGGGTGTGAGTAACTGTGTTTTCATGTCATCCACAGTGATTTAGTGAACCATAAACGCCACTAGTCCAATTTCTCTTCCCTCTCTAAAGATATCCAAGTAAAATGAACTAAAAACTGAAGAATGCTTGTATGGGTGTGAATGTGAATGAGTGTGTTGATCTGTTTATGTGACAGACTGGGCGCAGTCCTTTATCCAGTGCGTGCTGGGGTAGCCTCCAGCCTGCTCTGAATGGGAAATATTGTGTGTGGAAAATGATTCAACCGCAAAATAATTGTGAATGGTGTAAAATATCTCATTGAGGAAGGATTTGAGTATCCCCATGCCTCCGCATAGGCATTTATTGCTACCCATCACTTACCCATAAACAAAATGTGTGTGAAATAAATCTGACAAATGAGATGAACTCTGGAAATCCTCAGTAAATCACTGCTGCCCCTGATTTTATAATCTTCCCTTCCTCTGTCTTTTCTGGGAGTCTCTTTCCTTTTTGCTTTCTCATGATTTCATATTTGCATTACATAACGTGGAGAGCTCCTCATTAAAATCATTCCTCCAATCTCCTTGTGTTTCTCCTGCTGATCTCTTTGCCTCTTGTTTTCATTTCTTGTTCACTTACTGCTTCATACACACACACAAAAAGGTGAAAGCCAGAAAGAGGCGCTAGTGATGCCACATGGCCATAGACTGTAATTGGCATCCTGGTGCTCTGACAGCTGCCACACTATTGTAACTGTCTTGGATTCGTGGTCATTGCATAATACATTAATGAATTATAAATGAAGGCAGCAAAAGGTTGTAGGTTTGGGTTATCGCTTGGAGGTCTGGGCCTCAAAGAACAAGCTGGTTTGTTTTTTTTCCTTAGAGCTTAGGGTCAAAATTGCCTTTCAGCCTGTGAATCTGGATTTCATAAAGATTTTAGTTCAACTTTCCCTGAGAATTATTTGCACTCTAAGAATTTCAAAAAAAAAAGTGTAATGCTAAAAAAAAGGGCAGTCTGAAAATGCTTTTAACTAACAGTCTGTCAGCGGAGATGTTCCTGCTCCATTATTCCATAATTTACAATACACTCAGCACTACGTGTGGCAGAGTACACATCACAGCTGAGCAGACTTCAGTGTGGATTCAAGCGGAGTTGTCACATTAACCCTCTAAAGCTTGAAACATGAAATAATTTCCAGAAAACATTTTTTTTTTGAGTATGGAGTGTTTATTGAACCTTCTGACAAGTAAAGAAAATAAATAAATATCCATCTGCACACATAAGTTTTCATTTTAATGGCATTTCTTTCCCAATTTATTGCTTTAACATGTGCTGTGCAATTTATTTACGTTTTCAGGTGAAAGAAAATCCCACTGATGATGATGATGAAGTCTCAAAAACTTGTGTATCAAATATCATACACTAGAAAGGGGTATACTGATAAAATATTTATCAACAATGACTCTACAAGTTTAATTTTTAATAAAACTCTGCATAAGCTGATATCAGCATATGATAAATGCAGTAAGTGCAAAGATTTCATACTATTTTATGCATCTCTTGTATTTATTAATGCATTTCTAAAGCCGTCTGGTATCTGACAACATGTATTAAATCAAGATTAAGCAAAATTGTATCATACTACTAGATAAACAGGAGGAAGAAAGACATAATTTAGTCACTTCACAGTTTAACTATGAGTCACTGGACCTTAACTGTAGTATTGCCCCTCATATTGTAAAGCAGTGACTCACTATTATGCTGGGATTTCTGGTTGAAGAAGAAGCTCTCTAACTTAAACCCACTCATAACATCGAGTTTTGCTGAAGCCTGATCGGACTGCACTCATTTCATTGCACTTCATTATTCAGTTATAGTTATTCACTATTTGAACTGCTGCAAAAAATGAGATATGGGTAGTGATATGACTCACATCTCTCAACGCTGCACTTTTTTCTGCCTCCAGTGGTCAGAATTCTAGTTTAGATGATGTAGAATTGAGTTTGTCATATTCAGCACACATTGATCTCACCATTAGGTATGATTACAAGTGCAATACAGCACCTACAGTAACTATCCTGATCTGGGCAGAAGTACAGTAGTGCTGAGCTAGACAGCATTTTCTGTAGCTGTAGCACTTGCTAACAGGCAGCTGCTTCCTCTGGGTGGAGAAAAAAAAACAACCAATCGGGGAGATCATGTGTGTTAGACACTTCCTCCGGCTGAGCTGGCTGGTTGCCTGCAGGCTCTATGCAGTGAGTGCATACGGCATAAATGCCATAAAATCCTATCCTGATCCAACTCTTCTACAGTCTAGTTTTTTATCTGCCTTTCTGGATCAAATTCTGATTATGCAAAGAGAAGCTTTCAGGCTGTGTTAAAAGTGAAGGAAATTAAAAATCTATTCATCAGTTCACAGATGAAACACTCATCAGAAAACTACCACACATATTATGACAAGCACGACTCTGAGATTGCTAACATGATTTTACAGCGCTGCTTTAGTCATCGGGAAGAACTTTAACTCTTCTTCGAATCCCTGCTGCTGCTTTCTGACCACACCTATCTGTTCTTGTAAGAGGCATGGGCTTGAAATTTTCAACCAGATGGGGCAGTAATAGACTACATTTCCCTCTGCTTAACAGTCATTTTTTAATAACAAGATAATGCAGTTTGTAATTATATATTATCTTATTCTTATTGCAACAAAATCTTTAATGAATCTATTGCAATAGCTCAAAATTTGACTGTTGACTGCTTTTAAATGTTTAGCAACCTCTTCACCTGCTTCACAGTATTTCTTTATCTCTTAAGTCAGTCATTCGATCAGTCAGTCATTCAGTAAGTCTGTGTAGACAGAGTAAGTCACAAGCTCAGCAGCACCTTAGCCTACTGCCTGGCTCACTGCCAGTTCCTGGTATAAGGAGCGATCAGGCCGTGGTTTTCACTGTCAATCAGGGAAACTGAGAAGCCGGGTGCAGAGGTGACTCCTGGGGACAGTGAAAAAAGCCAACACAGCGCCATCTAACACTGGACACTTTATCTAATCAGAGACTCGTGTAGAAACTCCTATTTCTATGACAATTATTGTCATTGACATTTTTTTTCAGACACACTGTTAGGATAATCATATAAAGCTCACCAAGGGGGAAAAACACTCTGGAAAAAACAAAGAAAGCAGCTGCGCGAAGGGCAAGCAGCTATTTATCAATTTCTTCATGTCTCTGCTTGCCTCATCTCTCCATCTCATTCCTTTCTGCGTCCCCGTTGTTATGAGGCAATCATGTGGATCTTTATGAAATCTGATCTGTATTAGCAAAAAAAACACACACACACAAAAACACAAGCACACTGCACACTCTGTCTCCTCCCCTGCCTCTCTTTCAGTTCTCTTTTGCAGTCCTCCATCTTTTTCTCCTGCACTCATCTTCATTTCTCCTTGTTATCTGCATCTCTCACATCCCATCACTCCATCTAATTTTCTTCTTCCAGCTCCATCATCATCTGTGTGTTTATGACGACTCTCTTCAGAGCCAGAAATTCATACACAGCTAGTTTCAAATGAGGGTAAATTTCAGAAAGCTAACTGCCACACTGC